GCGATCACTTAACGGTTATACTGCGCTATGTCACTCCTGCTGGGCCTGTGGAACGATTTCTTCAGTTTATCCCAATTGAAAGCCATACTGGTGACTGGTGAGAGCTTGGGAACAGTACTGTTATCTCTATTGGACAGGTTAGGTATCGACCTTGCTTATTGTCGTGGTCAATCATATGACAGGGGCGTGTACAGGGGGGGGGGTCCAGGGAGTTCGGACCCCCCCTGCTCGCGCAGAAAACGCATCTAAGGGGGTCTAATTTCAAAATTTTGACCCCCCCTTCACGGGCTCGCAGGTTTGGGTTACGGTTAGACTCCCCCTGGTACAACTCCTGTACACGCCCCTGTATGACAACGCCTCAAACATGAGTGGCATATACAATGGTATGCAGGCATTCATCAATGGCAAGAACAAATTAGCCGTGTACATACCTTGTGCAGGACATTCATTGAATCTAGCTGTGAAATCAGCTGTGGACTGTTGCCCTGTAAAGGCTGTTGCTATTCGCTTCTTTGACTTTGTGCAAAAGCTGTATGTCTTCTTCTCACAGTCAACCCACCGTTGGAAAGTGCTCACTAATGCTTTGTCCAATACTCCAGTAGTCAAACGGCTATGTGCCACGAGATGGTATGCACATGCAGATGCTACCAAGGCAATACGGTGTGGGTATTCAGCGATCAAGAAAGCACTGGAAGAACTAATAGATGAACAAAGCAGAAACCAGAGTGTCGTTTCGAAGCAACCGGTCTAGTAACCAGCATGGAGAATCTGGAAACTGGGATCATGGCTTCACTCTGGGATGAAGTTCTCCAGCGTTTCAACACCATAAACGTTATGCTCCAATATCCAAAGATCGACCTTAACTCTGCCATTTGCCTCTTTGATAGTCTAATAGAATTCACTGGCTATCAACGTGCAAGATTCACCTTCTTCAAACAGAAGGGTCAAGAGCTAACAGAAAGCAATGAGTATCCCGAGGAGAACAGACGAAAACGGAAACGAAACACTCAAATGGATACCTATGTTCTTTATCATGATGCTCCTGGAACAACAGAAAATAGTGAAGTGGAAACGCCATCGGATCGTTTTCGTGTTGACAGTTTCCTGCCTGTCATAGACAAACTACAGTTGGCCCTGACAAAGCGCCGTGCAGCCTATTTTAACCATCAGTGGGAAATTTGGGTTCCTCCGAAGGCTAACTAGCATTTCTGCTGAAGAAATGGACAAGTATGCAAAGGTATTGGTGGATAGTTATCCAAGTGACCTTGAACCTAAGCTCTCCAGTGAACTCCTCTTATTTTCCTCCATTCTGAAGTCAGATTTTGCATCTGAAGGTGACTACCTGTCCTCCAAGCAAAATGACGCTCCAGAGATTTGGATGCATCGCGTGATGATGGGCAACCCAGCACTTCGAAATTCTCTTCCAAACGTTGGCACCATGCTCTCAATATTCTTATCTCTGATGATGACTAACTCAGTAACTGCAGCGGTGAGAGATCATTCAGTGTTCTCAAGAGAGTGAAAAACTACCTGCGCGCCAGCATGGGACAACATAAAATGTCTAATCTGTCATTCCTGAGCATTGAACATGGTATGATGGACTTGTTAGATATGGATGAACTCATCTCGTGCTTTGCTACACTTAAATCTCGAAAAGTATCTCTGTAAAAGTGCTTCTGTAAACAAATTGTGCTTTGTATTAAAAAAGTCATATTAAAATAATAAAATGTTGAAAGTATATATTCTTGCTTATGGGAAGGGGTGCAGGTGGATGGGCGGCCCAAATATATGATATGCCCCCGGCCCAGGCAACTGTTAATCCGGCTCAGCAGGAATCTCACCGTGTGCGAGGTTGTGCGATTCCTGCTGAGCACGAAACTCACGCTCCGTGCTCAGCATAAAGCTCACTGTGTGCGCCCGACTTTAGCATCCCGTTCACATCTAGCAGTCCGGTCTCACGCTCTGCATGCAGAGACTCCTGCAGTTAAGCTGTGGACACACTACGCAATTTTTCAGGTGATTGGGTTGCCTGACTCAATCGCCGGCGATGGAGTCGGGCGACTGAGTGGACACACTAGGCGATTTTCAGCGCGATTTATTGGCAATTTTTCTCCCGCTGCAACACTAAAACACTTGCGCCACATAGATTGATAGTCACATGATTGAAAATGGCACCGTTTGATTGGCTGATGAATTGTACAATCGGGCGACTCATTCGCCGACCCGGACACACTAGGCGATTGTAGTTGCGTCACTCAAATAATGGCACGATTTTATCAATCATGTTTGATTCGGGCGACTGAGGGCGACTCAGTCGCCCGACTCAATTGCCTGAAAAATCGCCTAGTGTGTCCACAGCCAAAGTCAGAGGTCTGCCTCGCAATGGGTTTCACATGGAGATGGAACGAAGAGCTGTCTGTGGAGCAGCTTTAGCACGACCAAGGGTGGCAAGCGCCAGCCAACACACAAGCCTACCTTACCTAGATCAGCCCCTCGGCTATCAGGAAACGGACACGGTGTCCCTTAGAACCGATGAATGGATTTAAGGATCATCGCCAGAGTCACGCAGGAGGACACATTGGTTTCCTGGATGCACCCATTGATGAGGAACGAATGAAAGTAGAGACACTCATCACTCATCCCAGCGGAGACTGATAGTGATAAGATAGAAACTGTAAGATAGCTGCATATAAACTGACGCAGCATTCACATGCGACAAAAAAAAACACCACACAAGAAACATGCGACAGAAATGGCAATCGTAGTGTGTATGCCGGTAAATAACCAACGAAGACTGCAGACTTGCGACAGAAATAAAGAAGCTACGATAGAAACAATGCTTTCGTCGCTTCTTTATCTCTGTCGCATGTCTGTAGTGTTTGACATAAAAACATTCGCTCCCGAGTCCCGAGTGTAAACATATATCCACTATATAGCTATAAGAAACGATCATACATCAAATGACCATGAGCGCGTTTGTTTGGGACGAATCCGTCGGATCGCGATCATGTGATCCTGATCCGACAAAACAAACGCACTCACTTTCAACGGTTCACGTTTTGCTATGACCTATCACGTGATGGTTCATAACAAAGAACAAGCTGTGATTGGCTGAGGCGCGGGCCGCCATATTGGATCCCATTCGAATCCACTTCGCTAGCTGGGTCGGGTTCGGTGGATCGAGATCCGTGGATCCGACCAAACAAACAGTCAGATCAACGAATCCATTGGATCGAGATCAGTGGATCCGACCAAACAAACGCGCCCCATATATGCAGCACATACGTCTTAACACCTGTTTATTGGTGTTAGTCAGTTTGATAGTCTCTTAGGGCGCGTTTGTTTGGTCGGATCCACGGATCTCGATCCACTGGATCCGTGGATCTGACTGTTTATTTCGTCGGATCCACGAATCTCGATCCACCGAACCCGACCCTGCTAGCTAGGTGGATTCGAAGGGGATCCAATATGGCGTCCCGCACCTCAGCCAATCATAGCTTGTTCTTTGTTATGAACCATCCTGTGATAGGTCACAGCAAAACACGAATGGCTGAAAGTGAGTTTGCGTTCGTTTGGGTTAGGGTTCGATCCAGTGGATCGAGATCCGTGGATCCGACCAAACAAACACGCCCTTAGTCAGCCTGGTGCCATACAGCCTGACCAGGCTGCGAGTCTAACGTAAATACACAGATTAGATCTTACGATATATATGCTGCATATATTGTCTTCCGATGTATCCCCGTTTTTTTAGTCAGTCGCGTAGTAGTCACGATATTGCCTGAGCAACAATTAGTGTTTTTTTCAATCCGGGTAATATGTGTAAAATGGAAATCTTTATTGTTCATTTAGTACGTCACATGTATATAATATTCAGTAAATACATCTAGAAATAAGCAATATAACGTTCTGAAAGATATATACGACCCGAATTAAAATGAACTGATTCCCCGGGGGGTCACTATATATGCCGTTATTACCCCATGTGCGTTCCAAATTTTGCGAGTTAGGGGGGTGTTTTTCAACTTCTAAAGCGGGCCCGCGAGGGAGCAAATAGGCCCCCTTTACAAAGCTAATCCCGCAATAAGCCCTCGGGATCGTTCAAGTCAAGCACCGCGCCCGCAGTAGACCCCCTCATGACTGACCACATAGTACTCCGCCCCAGGCCCCAAACAGGTGGCCCCGTAGCACACAAAACTTGAAATTTAAAAGCAATGTAATATATTAGCCTCTCTGAATTGTATACCTGCCTGGATATACCTGCTCATGAAATTGAACTTGTCATTTTTGAGAAAATAGAGGCGAGTTGTCTATGCAGATGATACAATACAAGAAGGTTAGCTGTGATGCAGTTGTGACCAAGTTCAGTGCAATGTAACCCCAATGTAACTTAGTTGAGTATTTTAAGCTGTGACAAATAAATTCTCATAATGTGATAAATAATCTCTCTTTTCCTTCCTTTCTTCTTGATTTGAGATTTGACACTCTCGGTTGACAGCAACAAGAGTTGCAAGTAGTCTTCTTTGAGTTGATCACAAGTATTCCCTCCACTCTTTGCCCTCCACTTGTCTGCAAGACCTCGCAATAGGGGGTAGAACCCCGGGTAAGACTCTTTCATTGTGTATGCAATAGGAGGTGGGATATTTTCATTGTGTATGCAATAGGGGGTGCCGATGGCTCACCACTGCGATGGCTCAATGGTTGAGTGCTCGCCTCGTATGTGGAAGGTCGGGGGTTCAACTCCCGGCCGGGTCATACCAAAGACTTGAAAAATGGTACACACGGCTTCTCTGCTTAGCATTCAGCAAATAGAGATAGAGTGTGGCAAGTTAACTCGCAGTGCTACAGTGGACTAACCCCCTACTGTAGCATTTACTGTGAAAGCAGCTGCGGGGCCACAGGGTTACAGAAACGGAGATAGGCACCGCCCTATGCGCCTGTAGCTATACGCTATGCGTATAAAGGCGCGGGAAGGATTTTATGCAATAGGGGGTGGTATTCTTCAATTGTGTCTGCAATAGGGGTAGGGTTTTCCAATGTGCAGTTCGCACTAGGGAGCCTATTATTTTTAGTGAGTATGCACATGGGGTAATGTTCTAAGAGAGAGTGACCCCCCCCCCCCCGGGACTGATTCACACTCTAACCTTCTTAGAAACCGGTGAATGATCATAATACGTTTGCACAAGAGCCGAATGCTGCTAGTGCTAATACACGGGTACAATACACATAGTCACCACTAGATGGCGCTGACAATAAATACCTACACATCCAACATACTGACTACCTTCCAGGGACCTTCCATACCCCTGATTGACATGTAGGCCTAAGTTCTATATATGGGTCGGCCTGCGAAGCTTCGTTGAAATGTCAGCACAGTGTTATGTACAAATAATGGCAGCATGGTTCTGGCAGTGCTGCCAATTAATTGCTCAAACAGTGTTGTAATTGTTAGGCTGCTTCAACAAGCCCTAAAAGTCACATCTGCAGAAGCAAGTTCTTCTTAGTACGTAGGACACATACCCCATATTTGTGTTTCTGTGGGCGCGTGCATATGTACACACACCAAGACCTTAATTTACGAATATTTCGATTATAGATTTTCGATGCTCACGGGGATTGTAAAAACAATAGGTTAAATGCTATAATAAAATTCAATTTGGACACTACAGAACTTGGCGTATTTTATACTATTTGTTCACATTAAAATTAATTACCCAAATAAAAATAGAATCCTATGTGATGTTCATACACGAACTATCTGTCAATGTCTACAGCTGCTAGTTGTTACCAAAGTTAACTCACTCATAATTTAAGGCCTTGGCGCACACACGCACGCACACACGCACGCACACACATATGATATCGATATTCAGATTAGTTTCTCAGAATTATTTCTTTAGCCTTATTTCAATGTGTCTGCTTTCATATTTTTCATGTTCGTCTTCAAACTTCTCTTTAATTAAATTTGCCATATCTTGACGACCTTGCCTTTCTAAGTACTCGGTAATGCTAACAAGTTTTTAACAACTTTTAAATATACTAACAAAACTTGTTCAAACAGCTGGAACGAATATATTGCTTCATAATGCGAAACCTACCGTAAAGTTCTGAATTTTGTTTGTTTTCTCATCATCTTGGTTTCACAAAAACCATTAACAGTTTAAGACTGAATATCAAGGTATAAGAAAATCTGGCACCATTGAACAAGTCACAACATTTTTTCTAGTCTCTAGTGCCAAGCCAAAATTTCCCATACGCACATTCATTACCTGATGAAATGTTGACTAAATTATCTACAATGTTCTAGGAGACGAGTAAGTAATAAACTGTAGTGAGGTGCAGTTAACACAACAATAAAAACGATGTCGATTTGACTAAACTACAGTTTCCTGTTTCTTCACCGGTGCTGATGTAAATTAACTCCAAATCAAAAGTATAGAATCTGGAATTTTCTCAGAAACTTCTGGAAACTTCCAGCAGAAAACAGATGCAGAAAGTATCACTAAATATCACCGCCTGTGATGTGAGTTGCATGTTAAAACAGCAGTTCCAAACCCTGTCAATCGTCAGTGGGCGGGGTTCTGGGCCAAAATCTAAATTGCCCGAGAAAATCTAAATGCCAGGGCCGATTAATTGTCAGGAACATCAAAGTTAGTTATGTCTATCAAAATTCCAAATTGTCTAAAATAGTTATGCCAATCATAATTCTAAAATGCATGACTTTTGCATGACACTTCACTTCAAAAGTTACGACATTTTAGATTTGTGATGTCATAACTATGTATCATATTAAATAAGTACATTCGTTTGGTAGACTAATAATATTATATAACAGGGTTAATTTTTACTCAACCGTGAAAATTGAAAACGTATCGCTTACGTTTCGCCTCCTGCCAGGAGGCTTTCTCAAAGCTAACTGATAATAATCAGTTTTGACCTCCAATCGTCTATTATTGTCAATCGTCTCTAACCACTATGTATAATGTTTCTGAGAACTGATGTCTCCTGACCTTTTGCCTTTAATATCTCTTCAGACATCTGTGCGTGATCTCTCTCATTCTCTCCCCTCTACAGCAACACCTGCAGCTTTACAGTGCTCACCTAGGATGTACCTTTGCAGCCCTGGTTTGTATTATAAGATTTCGTAGCTCTCTACTTGGCTCTGGTCCAATGTTTCACAGACTTCCAGAGAGCTGCTGTCTATGGCCTTACAAGTTACAGCACTCCTGGATCATTGTCTGTAGGTGTATGGCTATCTATTGGACCACTGTCCATTGGCATATAACCATCTACTAAATCAATATCCGCAGCTGTATAGCTGTCTACTGGACCACTGTTTGTAGTTTTTAAGCCCGCTACTGGGCTGTAGTTAAATGACTTGCGGTCCTCTGCTGGGGTCGTGCTCAGAGTCTCACAGCTCTCCATCGGGCTGTAGGTCAGAGTTTCAGAGCTGTCTGTAGAACTGTTGCCTGCTGCTTCCCTCAGCTGAAATCGGTTATCCAGCGTCACTGCACGGACCTGTACTAGAGCGTTGTCCGTAGCCCCGTTGCCATTCACTGGGCCGTCCTCTCTGGCTTTATCACCCACGCCCGCGCCATTTCTTGAAGCTGCATTGCTCCTACCTGGCACGCAGTCGACGTTGGTAGTTTCGACTCTCTCATCTGGGTTACTGCCTGTAATTTCGCCTGTGTCTTCTAAGGAGCTGTATTTAGTCTCACCACACTCACCTATGCTATTGTCCGCCATTTCATTCTTCTCATCGTCTAGATCAATATCCGCAGCTGTATAGCTGTCTACTGGACCACTGTTTGTAGTTTTTAAGCCCGCTACTGGGCTGTAGTTAAATGATTTGCGGTCCTCTGCTGGGGTCGTGCTCAGAGTCTCACAGCTCTCCATCGGGCTGTAGGTCAGAGTTTCTGAGCTGTCTGTTGAACTGCTGTCTGCTGCTTCCCTCAGCTGAAATCGGTTATCCAGCATCACTGCACAGACTTGTACTAGAGCGTTGTCCGTAGTCCCATTGCCATTCACTGGGCTGTCCTCTCTGGTTTTATCACCCACGCCCGCGCCATTTCTTGAAGCTGCATTGCTCCTACCTGGCATGCAGTCGACGTTGGTAGTTTCGCCTCTCTCATCTGGGTTACTGCCTTGAGTTTCGCCTGTGTCTTCTAAGGAGCTGTATCTAGTCTCACCACACTCACCTATGCTATTGTCCACCATTTCATTCTTCTCATCGTCTAGATCGATATCTGCAGTTATGCTTGCCTCATCGTGATGCTGCAGGCTTTCCCTAGGACCTGTGACGCCACCTTCTCGTTTGTGACGCAACTTGTGTGCTCTGAACCACGCGGCATACTTGAATTCCTTATTGCAGATGTCGCACTTATACAGTCTGTCTTTCAAGTGCTCGGTCGTATGCGATCTTAACTCGCGCCGCCATGTGAAAGACTTCTGACAGACGTTGCATGTATAAGCGCTCCTCTTCATGTACTCATTGCGAGGCGACTTACGAGTGTTACTGAGCGGCGGCGTTTTCGCACATGACGCCTCCTTCTTCACGCGGTTCTGTTTAAAGTGAGTAGCATGGTGTGCTTGTAACCAGCTGTTGTACTTGAATTCCTTCTCACAAACATGACACTTGTATACTTTCGATGAGTTTACCTGATTTTTCTTATTGTGTGCAGCTGAATGCAGCGTTAAATATTGCTTGGAAGTGAATGACTTTGAGCAAAAATGACACCTGTATGGTTTTTTGGCTTTTTCACATTTCGTGCAAAAGAGGCCATTTAGCTCAAAGCCTGGAGTGAATCTTTTAGAGCAATTTTGACAGTTCTCGTCTAAGATTCTCGTTTGGTCTTCCCCTGTGCTAACAAAGTCTTCTAAGATTCTTATTTGGTCTTCCTCTGTGCTAACAGAGTCTTCTAAGATTCTCGTTTGGTCTTCCTCTGTGCTAACAAAGTCAGTACTATCAGCATCTTCTGACACCGACTCAGCAATGAGAGTGTGCCAACGTTGCATGTGGCTAGCTAGTGCTTTTGCGTGGTTAAATGGTGCATTACAGATGTTACACCATTGCGCGTACTCGTGATTAATCGGATGGACTCTCATGTGGTTTCCCAAATTGTTCGATTTTTTAAACGCTTCGCAACAGATGTTACACACGATGGGCTTGAGATCAGCGCCAACAAACCCACGTACGTTGAGACACTTGCACTTCCGTGAAACCTTATGACAAATGTTGCACATGCCCTTCTTACCGCTACCCCTGGCATATTTTCGTTTCGCCAAGTACGATTTTCCCTCTCCGGTTGCCCTGTTCATAGCATTGCAGCGATCCTTGGCCGCCACGAATACATTCTCGCATTCCGCTCCCGGCGTTTGCTCCGTGAGAGCGGCTTCCGGCTCCTGCTTCACACTGCACAACGACCACTGAGACTCGCTCTCACGCCGGCCAACCAGATTGGAGGAAAGGAATTCCAGGAGTCCACGCGGGTTCCTATCAGGCGGCTCATCATCGTTGCTCGCCCGCGCGTCGTCTGCGCCGACGTACCGCAGAAACTCGCCGGCAAACCCGTCGCCCGTCGTCGTCGCGCTGCCGTCGTCGATGACAACCACGTCGTCGCCATCGCTGTCCACCGTCTCGACGATCATTGGCGACCGCACGTCGGCGATTACCGGCGCCCCCTGCACGGCCGCGTTGGCGTCATTCGCTGGCGCCTCGCTGTACGCGCTCGTTACGATCAGTGGGAACGCGTCGTCGCCGCGGGTGACCGCGCGAACCTCCGCGGCAGGATGTCGTGCGTCGTCATCATAGCGATCGCACGCGAGCCAGGGCAGCGATGCAGGGGGCGCCACTGACGTCCCCGCGGCGTAGCGTCCACCGGCAACATCGAGGAATTCTGCGCCGACAGATTCGTCGTCGAAACCGCGATAGTGAAACTCTGAGTTCTCGGCCGAGTTCGGCTCAGAGTTCTGTCCTCTCGACAGCAGCAGCTTGCAGTGAATTCTCCTCGCGTGCGACACGAACTGGGAGTCGGTGAAGAAGCACTCGGCGCAGGCGAGGCAGCGGTAGAAACACGCATCGCCGAGGTCCTGTTCCGGGAACGGCGCATCCATGGCTGCCGTCGTCGCCGTTGTCGTCGTTGATCCTTGGTAATACCGCGTTAACATTGCTCCGGTCGCAACCTGTGTCGCTGCCTTTTCTCTCATTTTGCATTGGCTTATTATGTCGGATGTATATTGGCTGCAGTTCAACCTACGGAATAACATTAAATATGACACACCAAAACAAATATGTCATCATTCCAATGCATCCACAACACCTGTGCACACACACGCACGCATGCACACACCGTCACACGCACACACACACACACACATGCACACACACACACACACACGCACGCACACACACACACACACACGTACACACACACGCACGCACACACGCACACGCTTCACGGCAATCATGAAATGTTGCTATGTTATGTTATGTTATGTTCTCACACTTGTCTGTGTCCACTACACTGGATATAATGACAAGGGCTATAGCTAGCCATGAGGTGTGACCTAGCTTGGGTAAAGCCAGGTAGTCAGCCTTTCCTTTAGCCAAATGGCACTGAGGGTGGTCACAGCCAGAGTTCCTTTGCGCCCTCAGTGGTTCTTTTACGTCCCCATTGGCTAGTATTTCTGGAGATGGGACCGCCATTTTACGTGGTCATTCGAGCCACGAGAGATTCACAGTCTCCAATGTTAAAAGCCAGGGGCCCGTTGTCAGAAACAAAATTAGTCTTAACATTAGTCTTAACATTAACTTCCACTCGTTAACCGTTGACAGAAACATTGTAATGTTAGGAAAACGAAAAATCCTCGCAAATATCCTCTTAACGTTACGAGAGCCCAGACCCTCTCGTAACTTTAAAGGGAGAGTTTACTCTAGGTTCTAGGGTTATTTTCAGCCAATTTAGGTTATAATTACACTACATAAAAAGTTTCATGGTTCAATCACCATTAGATATTGCGATCACGTATTTCAAATTCTGTTCTTTGGTACAAATAATTTATGAGAAAAAGAAATCAAACGACGTTCGACTTTTATGTCATGACACAGAGATTCCTCACAAAGCAATAAAAATACGTCTCAGATAATTAAGAAAATACACCATTTAAAAATTGAGTATTAATCTATGACTATCTTTTATAGAACACTTAAAGGGATCGTTTACTCTAGGTTCTAGGGTTATTTTCAGTTAATTTAGGTTAATAATTCACGCTACATAAAGTTTCAAGGTTCACACTCACGCATTAGAAATATCTATTAAAAATGTTTTAAAACTAAACAGACTACAAGGTTTGATACAACGAGCGGTGGCGCACTCAAGCCCGAACGATCGATAAGTTCGCAAAACGCACTTTCCAAGCCAAGGGTACAGACCGAGGGTGTTTCTTATTTTTTTATTAAAAGCAAAGAGGATTGTAATACTTATATTAACGGACATATAGTTTCAGTTATAATATGGATAAATTTGCCCTAAAATGAATATCGTTCGGTTAAATAGCATTTAGGTATAAATATAATAGCACTTTTGTGATTAGCCCTCGGTCTGTAATGTGCAAAATAAATTGTCAAATACGCAACTTTTTCGGGGTGGCAGCACAATCGCGGGTGTCATGGCGCCGTTCAAATTTTGTAGCGTTGATGTGTAATTAATTATAACAATGAAATTAGGTATCTGGTAACAAATACATGTGGGTATAGACGATTTGTTATACAGTAAGTACAGTTGTATGCAGTAAAATCCTAGAGGCTACTGTCCCTTTAATATTAAGTTGAAAATAACACATTTACACTACAAATTACAATTATAGTGATATTATATTTTATAATAATAAATAAAATGCGTGTTTTTCTTGAAAAACACGTCAAAATCATTAATTATCTACCAATTATAAAACACAACAATACATTTACAAATGGCGTATGGCATTTGTTCTCTTGTTTTAACTACTTTGCCACTTTGCCACGACTCTCGCGTCTCGTGTTACAGTGTGAGAATTTGTCTTGTCGTTTTTCATCAAATATTATTTATATGTGGTTAGCCATCATAATATGCATAAATTAGTGTGATGTACAATAAATGTGTATAAATTTAAATTTTGTGATTAATTCTCATCCAGTCAGCAGCCTTGTGACATGAAATTATGAAGTTCCTAGCTGTTATCGTGAGTTTGCTCGTAGCTACGATGTGTTTTTGTCAACGCTACTCTCGTAGCATTAACATTAGTCGTAAGTGTTATCGTAGGCGTAGCATTAACATTAGCATTCATTAACTTTACGATGTTTCTGACAACGGGCACCAGGTTTTTACACCTTGAGAAAATTCACTGCTCCGGCCGGGGTTTGAACTCGCAGCATTCAGTGGACAGTGCACGATGCCTACCACTGGGCCACGGAGGCTCTCTTGTAAGTCTTGTGACCAAGCTTTAATTGATTTGTATGATTTAACATTGAGAGACACTGTGCGCCACCACTGGCACTGGCACCACCACGCCTAGTCTCGTTTAGATACAATAATCAATATCAATATGTAACTCAACAAGAGTAGAACCTACTCTTGTTGCATCTAAGTCTCGTTGAACTACTTACGCCCTTTCAAGAGCCCAGCTTGTCAAGCGCTTGCAACACTCTTTGTCATTATATTTTTTTTCAGATTATCACGCCAACCATGTTGTGATTTTGCGATTTGCACAGAATTATGAATTTAGTACAAAAGCAGCACCATTATACTAGACTGGTACCCGTTCGCCACCTTCACTCCGGCATATATCCTTCGCTACACTGACGTTCGTACGTCCTTCGTACACTGTCGTTAGTGTAGCGTGTGGAACTGTCGACCGGGTACCAGTCTACCATTATACACGACAATGCGCGCCATCTAACGAGCTCGATCACAGATTTTTTAGTCATATTTTCCAATTTATTTTGCTTGGTGACAATACTTATATAGGAACAAACGATTCGCAAGGCGCCTTTATAATATGTTAGTACTTCTACGTAGTCAGTGTGTCAAAATGTACTTGCGATATTAAATTTTCTAAGTCTCATCACCCCGTAACGAATATTATATCCATCTTAGTCTGAAACGAAGAAAAGAGCCTAATGTTGATCACAGAGACAGATCAACGCTGCGGATTGCAGCAGAAAAAGGTTCCATGTCACACTCAACCAGAGAGTAATAAAGGAGAAGGAAGAGAGTTCCAGTATAAAATGATAAAAACAAACATAAAAAACAAGTCCTTATTGTAGCAGTATTCATATTATTTTATACACTGCACCGACGCGCCATCTATTATGAGCGTTGTACGTGAGTAAAGCAATCCAACATGGCAGCGCCCCTGTCAACGTTGTAACTTCGTTCGTGCTTAATAAATCATCTTAACTACAACCAAGACTTGTCGAATACCATTACACTTATAAGACACACGCTGAAACTTATTATCATAAGTGCGTATCCATTTTTTTCACATCATCGCTGGTTCCACCTACACTGCAAAAACACCCTGTCTCACTTTTTCTCAAAGTCACTTCGCCACAATCCATTTCTCCCGCTCAACTTTTTCTCGTACCCCATTCTCTCTTTCTTTGTCGATCTGGTCATTTCCGCTCCACCTCGAGCCCATTGCCAAACGAATTTACTGGAGTTCCTCGAACTAGTGACGAAGTATGTAGACCATGGAGACCCTGTGGATGCAATATACCTGGACTTTTCTAAAGTCTTTGATAAGGTACCCCACAAACGACTTGTCAACAAACTGCAAGCACATGGTATCACGGGACAGGTCAGTAGATGG